AAAGTCACGTGGAAGGGAAACAATAGAATAATAAAAATATAAAACAATTAAATTCTCACTAACACTCACTTTATTTCATATATTAAACTCGGGTCACCATGGTCTTTTGTCGAATTTTACATTCATGAAGCATTCAGAACTTGTCCTCTAAAGGATGACCCCACTCACTTGATTTGTTCTGGCCCACAAAAGCGGCGCCAAGCCAATTAAAAGTCGAGGATTAATGCCCCCAAAAAACTAAATGTTCCACACTCCCAAATACCGTAATGGATGACTGTGGGCGGTAAGCCGACACCCACTTCCGGTTTGAGTCACATTTGAAAAATATTCTATTATTTTTAACCGTGCCAAATTCCAAGTGACCCTGTGATGTGCAGCATGATTAAGGTGTATTTATAGACTCGGGTGGCCTCCACAAGAACCTCCAGCTTAACCGTGAAAATAAAACGGTTTGAATTCTCTCAAGAGAGCCAATTACTCTAGGCACTTCCAGATATGTATATTGAAACTTTAAGCATATTATTGTGCAATAATTATATTAGAAGGAATTCTAATTCTCAAAAGATGGGATATTGGACAAGGCCAGTAAGCTCTCCCTTATACGAATATAAAACGTTTATATCATGATCAGCAGCAGTATAGATCATGATCTATCCACTGCTGCAAGGGCTCCCCCAAGCCATCACTATTTCTCATGGTTCTAAGATGTCATAATCCATCAGGCACCTACTACACGCGAGCCGATTTCATCACTCCATCTCAGCGGTGGATGTGTTTTCTCCGGAATATTCCCACGATTGTCTGTCAATTGAAAGCCATAAATCTGGGAATTGTTGAACCCCTCGTAATTATAAAAAAAACTGTAACCATTATGAAAGTGTAACCCACTTTAAAGACAGACTGACAAAAGGGATCGTGGAGTTATAATAAAAACTTACATTTGTAAAGGCGCATTTCATCCGTAGATCCCAATGTGCACTATTTATGAAAGCAGGACCTACGTCAGCAGTCCTGCCGCTGTGTTTGTTTCACCTGATGACGGTTGCTTGTGTTGCGATCGAAACGTCGTGATCTATTAATTTTCTATCTCCGTGACTTTACCAAAAGAACCAAAGAGTAGAAAGGGAACTGCAGGGTAAATGGGCAGAACTCGGGGGTAAAGACAAATTTAAAGAGGCGAGTTTTCAAACTCAACTAGCTATAAAGACTCCCATTGTCTTACTGACAAAGTCTGACAAAGTCTGGGAGGTACACAATGTCAAAATTCCGATCACCCCAGGAACAGAGCCTTGACCTCGGGACTACTTAGAAGAAGGCCATCCCAAGATCTCAGGGACCTCTGCCGAGACTCCACAAGCCCAACTCGGCAATTTTAAGACTCCTATTGTGCCGTATCAATATCTGTAGCTCAGGGAATGGCACTAAGGTGCCCTTATATATTGGGTGACAAACGTAAATGCTGGGCATGTTTGAAAATAACACAGCATGATCCAGTGCATAAAAAAACATCATCCTCATTTAATGAACTGGAATAGCAGCTTGTTCAAATATTTAATGTTTTCTTTTGCCTTGCTGAAGCACCGTGCATGTTTGAATGCAGATGTTTGCTATTTTAAAATCAGAAGTCACGCTGGCACTGTTGGCCTGTGACTAATCGATGGCATGCTCTTCATGTGATGGGGGGGAAAAAATGTGCACTTTAATAAACTAATTTCTATTCTCTGCCATGTGTCTCTGAGCGTTTTACATTAGAGCACACACTCTGGAATTTGCAGTGGCTAAGAAAGGGAAGGCTCCAGGCCAGGATATCTTCTCCAACCCCCCCCCCCCCCCCCCCCAAGGAAGGACCAATTTGCTAAGGTACACACACAATGTGGTTTCAAGAAAATCGGCAAAGGATTTTTACCGAATACAAAAATAGGATTAACTGGTTCCTTACACAGCGAACGTTTCACCACCAGAGATACCGTTTGCGCGACTTTGGTGACACAACAAAGCACCGCGTTTGCCATTAACACATTTTCATTGCGTTTGGCTTCGTAGTTCATGGGGGAAATGTTGCCATTGCAAATTAAGGAGCAACAGCACCAGAAACTATATGATCTTTAAGAAAACCATATTTGCACAACGTAATAATGCCACAGTTTTTAAATATTTAAAGCAGATACTGTATATGCGCACAAAGCTTAACCTAAGTGAAACATGTCACTATTCTTACTAATCTTTGGTGGTACATTGCCATTAAGAATATAAATCAAAAGGCTGGCAGCATAACTGAAGGCCATTGACACGTTTGAATATAGACAACTAGAAATCACCTAAATTTCTGCATTTACTGAAAAACACACACATATATACAGATACCAACTGTGGTACCACAGTACAAACATTTTCATGTTCTTTGTGGCAGTTTAAACACAGCATGGTTGCCTGAGCAGAATTTTGATAGGATGTATACCGTAATCCAAGCAGAATATCATCACATACGTGCATGCCGATTCATAACAAGACGTTCATGTTGGTTTTCAAAAACAAGACCGTTTGAAATTTCAACTATTTAACGGGCTCTCAAAGATTAGGCGAAAGTGAAAATATGATAATAGAATCTAACCTGAAAAGAGACTCTAAGAACAATGCAGAGTCTGTATAAAATTGAAATACGAAGCGTCGTGCTAAACGCGAATACAATTACGTTGCAAAAGGTTATGGTTCATAAAAGTTTAAATATCAGGAGGCATACACGTGGTCATGCATCGTATTCTACTCTAAGCTACGTATAATATGTTCCGAAAATCATGCCGTTGATATTTATTTTTGCGTAATATCTAACGCCATTAGCACTGTGCAAAGATAATTAATCTGCACGATTGTGTCTATTAATAACAACGCCAATGAAGACAGAATCTCCGAGTGTATGAAAACATTACACTATAACTACGCTCACACCTCTCCATTGTACAAAACTATATATTTCTGTTTACACTATGCCAAATAGAAAATAAAGTAGATACTGCACACCCTTAATTCAATGCAATATAAAACCTGTAAACTTGCTCAGACTATTGTCATAAACCAATTGTGATGTCCTGCTTGTGATAGTTAACTCAGTAATCAGGTTCGTCATCAGGAACGTATCCAGCAGTGTGCCAATCATTGTGCTGTGTTTCAATCGCTGTGTAGTGTGTCAATCCCTGTGTAGTGTGTCAATCCCTGTGTAGTGTGTCAATCCCTGTGTGCACCAATATCAGTGCGGTATAGAGCTATTTATCGTGAGTATTCACTGCGAAGAACGCGGCATCACGACTCGGCCGTCAAAGGTTTCATCTTCACATCCCATATCTATGCAATTAATTTTCTTTGGGAAATATTTTAAATTCAGGTTGGGTAACAGGAAACATTTTAATTGCACGAAACCCACGTGGAAAGAAATACCAGCAAGTTGCATGTATGCGCTTTTCTATGTGTCCTGTATTTTTGTCCATTAAAGGTTTTACTGTGAAAACACAAAGATCTTCAGTTCGGAAATTGATTCATACAATCTCCAGCATCACTAAACCTAACCTGTTTGAACTCAAGTGAAAATAAACTTTATTTTTTAAGTTAGCGTATAACAATTACATATTCATAATTCCATTGCATTCCACACTTTCAGAAAATCTCATGGCGCATCGTTGAGTGGCAATTGAAGAAAATCATCCTTCATGTAAATAAGTCAACAAAATTGTCAACAACATAGCGGCCTTGAAAGAACAAAAAATGTTCAATCGGATACATTTTGGGCAATGGCCCCTTCTTCATGGCACGTACATAGAGAGGCCAAAGAGACATAGATAACTAAGATATAATAAGAGCTTGAGACTGCAATTTACACCATGGGGACTGCAAATAATGATAACATTTTTTGGGAAAGAATACGTCTCAAGATGCACTTGAAGATAGCAACAGCAGTGGGCTTCTTGGGTGCGCACAGGTGCACAAGAAAACACTACATCAGAGCAATTACTGTGAAGAAAGTAACTTCAAGTACAACTTGATTCTTTCCAAAACACAAGACTAAAGTAAATGGTAACGCAGTATGAGCTATGATTTCCCCCCGCCAGCACCAGGTGTGCAATCTGCATCGATGACTCAGTGGACAGAATACCTAAATGGATAACATAGTGCCAAGATTATACAAATTATTCATCGCTTTACTAGCAGCTGTGTAATCACTTTCTTTAAGAAAGTCACCACCGAACGCTGCAGTAATAACAGAAAAAAAAGGCTGACGCTTTGGAGAGAGCGCACGGGGAGAGCAGAGTGATTTACTGTGCTTATATTGGAAACATTTTTTCCTTACACTGTGGTGTCCAATGAAAACGAGGTCTTGTTAAGAAAGGTGACAAATTCAGTTTTGTATTGATATGTGAACAGTGTTCTATGAGTTGGATATTGTGTGGGAAAACCTTAACTTTTTGTTTAAATAGCCAATACTGGTGGGTTTAATGATGGACTTTTTTTGTGCAAACCTTAAAAGTATATTCTATTTACAATTCTGTATGTGTACTTTAATTTCACCTCATATCCATTATATTATGGTATATTAATACATCGCTAATATCTTGGTTCGCAGACGGCATGGTTGCATTGACTTGTGATGTTATAGATCAGACGTGGCACCCCAACTCTCTTGTTAACCACAGTCACGTGGGCCCAGTGGTGGCCTACTTGTCAAGTCAGAGGTAAGCCTCAATACGAAAAATGATGGATGCCTCTGGCGTCTATAACGGGATATCCAGGCGGCTCAGAGCACTAATTCCATGTCAGAGAAATAATCTGGCAAGGCCGACATCCGAGGTTCAATTCCAAGCAAATCTGGGGAATTAAATGGTTTCTTAAGTACAGAGAGTTGATGCTCTTAGCTCCATCACCGATGACGGTCCAAAAAAACCCATAATCTTACATCAATACATTGAAGATTAGCAGTGTACAGAGTGTATTTAATTCAATTGTGGACGAACCACGTGCTTGCTCTTCTCGCACTGGAATTTTCCACAGCAGAGGCAGCAGGGAGAGCAACAGATTCAGCAGATCTTCTCGGCAGGCCAGTTCCTGTGCAAAAAAAAACACACACAGGCATACCGTACAATACAACTTGGGTTTACATCGCGCCTAAATGTGGCCACATCTCAAGATGCTGTCCAGAAACAGTGGGCTTGTTTTGAGCATATACACACAACACGATACACATGCAAAAACAAACACGATACACCTTTAATTGGCGGTGTATGCCCCACCCGCGCTTGTTCCAGGCTAAGTGCACTTTGAAGATTCCAAGGTTCACTGGACAGAGGTTGCAGTACATGCCCAGGTGTTATGGGTTAAATGATGACTGTGCCACCTTGTATTTAGAGATCTGGCACTCAGCAAATCTGCAAACCTGTTCCTTTGGGCCAGAGATCAGGTCATCATCGTTCTCCTTAAGGATGGTGCTGCAAGTGATTTTTTTTTCAGTGGATTGCTCGTTTTCTATTGTAATTGAAGATAAATATGAAGCAGAAATTCCCTAAAACGGAGACATTTGTATTTTATAGAAATGTATATTAATTATGAACGAAACAAAATGTACAGTGTTTGAAATAGAAAAACAAAACCACGACCGATCACGTCGTAACTAAGTTTCACTTGCTGCGAAAGGCTTAGGAAAACATCAAACAAAATGTCCGCTGTTACACCAGCATGGCTCTGTTGATGTATTGCAGACACTTTCTTCCAGCAGCGGGCCAAAAGTAAACACAGAAGATTACAAGAAGCTTAACACGAGTCGCCCGCAGGCATACACAACATCCAACGTAGATTTGTTTTGGATGCACTTGCGAAGAGTTTTTGAAATAATGAAATAAACGGACCTTTCATGGGGAGTTTTTGATTAATTTCTTATAACAACAGCAGGACATGGAAATGCAAAACAGCACATGGACATTTGGTAGCGAAATAGGCAATGAACAGGCGCCATTACCATACCATACACAATGTTTTCACAAAGCCGTTTCACAGCTATCTAAAGGTCATTAAGAGCAAATCTTTTAAAAGCATTCTTTCAAATAAAATGCAGCTTGTTAACAACAACACCCAGGTTGCTTAGAGAAGCAGTAGTAGGATGGCAATATTTAGGGGACCAGATAAAATCAAAAGTAGCTTATTTGAGTTAACTTCTGGGCTTTCAGAAATGTTTCCAGATTATTATGATTATTGGTTTATCTGATAGTTTAGCCACCACTGAGATGAGAAATTACACTGATTAGGTATTAAGCATTTATTGTGGAAATGACACAATGAGATAAAGACAATGATACTCACGGATATAATTCGCCGCTATTTTGCTCACAATTTCGTTTCAAGACGAAACCGCAAAGCTGCGGAATGTGTTCATGAAAAGACAAATAAAAACTGAAATATTCTTCAGAAACCCTAACTCATTCTCCACGTAGAAGTTTTCCAAAAATGAGTGCGCTGCGGTTTTGGCATCCCGCTTATACCACCCCTACCCACCCAAAGCACAGGGAATTCTGGCTGGTACTGCCCCACCACCCAGCCGCACATGATTGGGCCACGAGGCTTGGGCACGGGTTCTAGGAGTGGCGGTGCCACTGGCACTTGTCACACGGGGGCGAGAGCTCGAGTGAAAACACCAGCACGGCGGCGCGAGTGACTTTCCGCTCGTTAATAAACTGCCGAGTGTCAAACCGAAGCAGGCCAAATTAGCAGACTGCTCAGGACAGGTCGTTTGAAGGTATTCTGGAGATAGCTCTGCGACATCCACTTCTGTGGTGCGCTATCTAACACCAAGGGCTGCACTCCCCTGCGCTCTCGGCTCACGACGCCGACAGCACAATTGGGATAGAATTATGGAAAAAGATGAAACAAGGAAGGCTGTTGTAACACTATCCAACTTGCATTTGTAATTCCAATTTGTAATTCCAAATATTTAATTGATATTCTTGGTTCTTTCGGTAAAGTCACGTAGGAGGGAAACAAGAATATGAATCCCTGCAGTCACGAAAGCTTTAAATCAATATTCAATTGATGTTAACGTTGCATTCTGAGCTGTTTAATGAGATTACGGCGCATAACGTGTAACATCACAAAGCTTGACGAGGCTTGTTGGATCTTGACTTTAAGCTTTAGTGACTGCAGGAATTCATATTCTTTGGGTCTTTTGGTAAAGTCACGTAGATAGGTTAAAAGAGAATAAAAAACCAGGACGTTTCGATCACAACACAAGCGGTCGTCATCATCCTTTTTCCTCCTGTGATCGAAACGTCGTAGTTTTTGGTTATTTTCTTTGAACAATCTACGTGACTTTACCGAAAGACCCAAAGAATGAGGCTTATTGGGTAAACCTTTGTTCAATTTAGTCGATTTTCCCGAATCTGAAGTTTTGCATATATTGCACCATCTCTACGGAATTATCATGACCGCCCCCCGCCCCGCCCACCCCACCGTTACAGACGCACAGACAGACGGACGGACACACAGAGAGACAAAGCTAACGGATCAAAACAAAGAAAAAAGTTTATACGCCGATACCTGATTAAGCAGCGAGTCGAGTGTGAGCAGCAAAGTGAACCCGCGGCCAGCGAGCAGGTAATCCGCCAGCGCCGTCACGTGTCCGCTCTCCCGCCGCTGCTGCTCTTGCCGCCGCTCCTCCTCCTCGTCATCCTCCACCTCCTCCTCCTCGTCTTCATCTCCATCACCGTTTCCTCCATCATCGTCATCACCGTCACCGTCACCGTCGCCACTGCCCGGCACCCGCCTGTCTTGGGGCCCCGAGACTGTGCCGCTGGTGACGGGTGCGGAGCCGCCCAGCGAGGAGGTGCTCTGCTCCGCCAGGTTGCGGCACAGTTGGTGGATGTCCGTGAGTAGCTCCCGTGCCAGCACATTACAGGCGCCTGCATTCATGGCCGGGCTAAGGGGGCAGGAGTTGGAACAAGGCCAGGGGTGCGGCGGGGGGGGGGGGGGAGATTTGAATGTCAATTTGGACAAATCAAACGACTTGCCATAAATGCAGGCGTTGTAATACACGGCGGTTAGCTTATTGGTTATCTAAGGCCGGGTTATCAGGGTTGCGGGTTTAACCGTGCTCATTTGTGCCTTTTTTTATTCGCCGGATGGTTTAATTACGAGCAGCTCCTCACTCGTCGAGGGTCACTGACTTGGTGTACACTCGTCCACGAAAATGTTTTGCAAGTAAATGGCTTGCTTAAAACAACACGATAAAAGAGAGATAACACATTCTACACCTTCACTCCCAATCTACATTGATAAGCAATAAACACGATGTTATTAAAAGCCTAATAACATTTAATGTTACTTGTGTTTTTATTATATCTGTGCCACCCCTCTTCCCATTATCCCGGATAACAGAGAGAGATGTTGAACAACAATTAGATCGCATCAACAAAGTAACATAAACGATGGTGTTGTGTGTGCACGTAGAGGGTGGCCAGAGTCCCTTTGCATAAAACATTAATGTTCTCTAGCCACACGATGCCCTGCCAATTCGGGAATATTTGAATCGAGAATTCAGCGGACGATGGATTGGCAGAGGGATCTGATTTGATGCGGCTGTCCTGAAGCCCAGACCTGAAAACACAACGTGATAATTCCCTTGAGTGTGAAGTATTCCCCTTGATAATTCCCTTCCGCCAAGCCTAGAATGCCTGGAAAACTCCGGCGGTCATCAACTCAAGCGTAAACCAAACACCGCCTTCACCAGCTCGGAGGTTCCTCTTCAAGACGCTCCTGGCACATGCAGCCAAGTAAGACATCCCGACTCTACCACGGGAAGGAGCAGATGCTAAATTGTAACCGTGGGGAGACGAATAATCTTCAACAATCACAACTATTGACGTCCGCAATTGTGAGACGTTTACTCCGACACGTATTGTCAATGAAAAGCGTACATTATATTCAGCCCGTTTTAGTTCAATCAAAGAAGTGCGAGAAATAAGTACCGATATATCGAGCTGGGACTAAAAGTTAGCATTAGCATAAAAAAAAATATTGCATTGCACACATTGGTATACTGTACATGGGATCACATCTATAAAAAAGCAGAGGAACACATTTATTTAGTTCAATGGATCAGTTCAGCGTTGAGACCCATGAGAACAGAAAGAGTTATGTGCTGGGATTTGAAACCCATGATCTCTTTTTTTTGCAAGCAAACAATCTACCGAGCCATCAACTGGTTCTTCTTATATTGTTCCAGAATTGACCATAAAAACCAAAATGTATTGTGTGTTTTCCGAATTTTCATTTAAAGAATGCAGTCCTAGGGGATGTGATGCCTTGAAACTCTGCTACCGGTGTTTTTCTGGAAGACTTTGCTGTTTTTTCCTGGATTTTTCTGTTGCGTGTAGCGACTTTAAGATGTTTCTTGTTCATGTTTTTTTGTTGTTGCGGTTGCACCCGAGTCAAGAGCCGCATGGCTCACAGGGTTATACCTAATAAATGAAACTAAATGAAATAAAATAAATTCCAGGCACTGGCTCACACCACTTCGATTAGCGCGGTCGGCTGTGTATGATGCGAAAGAAGTTCAACATACATACAGACATAATGTACTAACTGGCTCTGAACCCCGGACACACTAACACATACTGGCCAGCACGGCGAAGTATGTTCAAACATCCCCCATGACTGACATCGTGCGGGGAGGGGCCTTCATCCAGCAGTGGATTTCCAAAGTCCGTGGATTATTATGATTTTCAACATACGTACGTACATCTAATCAATTCCAGATGAAGAGAGGAGATGAGCTGTGTGAATGTATCAAATGTGGTAATGGTCACATAAATCTATAGCAACAAACACGCCAATACTGTGTTTATGCAAACGAAACAGGACCTCAATGCACATCAATTAACTATGACATATATTCAATGGGGGCATCAATGACTCATCAATAATAAGTAAGTGATTGTTAGGTATTGGCTTCAAGGGTTATCATGGTTAATAAAAATACATGATTCATATCGTTTACAGCCCTTTGTCTATCAACCACCGGGTGAAGGCCTCTCTCTATGCCATCGTAAGGGTTGTTTGACCATACTTCACCATACTCATCAGTGTGAGTTGATCAAAAGAGAGGGGGGGGGGAGAACCCAGGACTGGTTTAGATATCACTCACCACTGACGATTTCTGTGGCCAAGATTAAAACTCAAGCATTGCTGGGAATTCATAACGTAGCAAGCGAACCACTGCGCCCTGTATCATGGCTCACAAATAATCAAACGACACAGACAGTAGTCTCAGTTGTTACAAAATAAAGACTATATCTGTTCTCTAGTAACGTGGTAGTGGGGCATTTAACAAATTCATCCGCACAAGTTAATCACGGAGCCCAACAGCACCTTTCGAAATGTCTAAGAAATCCACGAATGCATTGAAATACATTTATCTGAAAAATATGGGTGAAAGCAGCTAAATATCAAGGCTGTCAGAATCGTTCAATTGTTCACAAGCTTCGCTAAATCCACTGGGAGCCAGTCTCAGTGGTTAATGGTGTTTGACCGCTCATCTGTTATGGTCAAGCAGACATTTGTCCAATCGATATGTGGTGCTATAGCCAGTTTGTAAAAAAAGAAAAAAAAAATCAGGTATAGGGGACCATTTACTAGGAATAAAAAGCAAAGCCAATAATTTGAAAATAATTGTTCGGAACATTTTAATTAGTTTTCTGACTCACATCTCAGTCATACCAATTACAGGCAAGCACACATCCCAGTCGAAGCTATGGTCTGCAATGCAGCATAGTTTTAAACATCGTGGAAAGAACCAATTCAAATACGATGGAAAATATCTGCGCACAGCATTGCCAAACTTTGGAGAAATGCTGCAAACGAGCCGTGCTCATTAACATTTGACAAAAGTCGACATTTTCGCAAGCATGAATTTTCATGCAATTTCCTTCACTAGGGTTACGCAACCCCCATCAGTAAACACAAGGTTCAAATCAATTCGGGTCATTAAATCGTTACGTGAATAAATGCAATATGAACCCGTAGGCTTTTAATATAGCAAATCCTGTTAGCAGACAAAGGCAATACTGCAATATTTCTAAACTATGCTAAACGATACATAAATAATGTCATACAAACTGAGGAATCTGGTTTCAGCGCTACTGCGGCAGCCTTCTGCAATGGCTCTCAAGATTGCTGGGGTCAAGAACCCCTCACAGCCAAGGTCAAAGTGTAGTGGACTCTCCTTTGCCTTTGAGGTCCCCGTGATGATGTGTGAACCCCTGGGTAAAATCCTTAACATCTCACAGAGCCCTGCCCCCTAACAATAACCCCTGATGATTTGCAAACGCGTGGTTAATACATTATCTTCAAGACGTTTGTGTATGGCCCTACCACTTGCTTGTAGCATGGGAATGTAAACTTATTGGAAAATAATGTTTACCTTATTTTACTCATAATAACATAAAGCTGGGGGTGCCAATGTAAAAAAACACAGTTTCGTGAAATTACATCAAAGGAAAATGCTACGGAATTGGGAAGTGTGAATTATACACACGTGGGTGGTTTGACGTCATCTTATTAACATTTTATTAAGAGCAAGCCAATACATGTCAAACAGCAATGTCTCAATGTAGAACTCCTATATCTATAATCCCCTGCATAAAATGTATTGTGCGCCGCAAAGCAAGATGTAACCAAAGATGTGAGATCACTCAAAGTTGAAACCGCAAGAGAAGCACACTAACAACGACCTTTAGCCAAGTACCACAACATTTATAATTAAACATCAGCTACTATTGTGCTTTCAATTTCTACCAGCAGCAAACAGAGTTTATTTTTACACAAAAACCCCCCCACAGTTTTCAAAACGTACATACTCAGCACCGACTGCTCTGCCAACATCACACTGCATGAACAAGTACGAGACTGACTGAATGAACTTACTGACAGCTGTATACAAGAAAGTATGGTTTTCGAAGGGGGTTACAATATTCACTTTTCACGCAGTGTGCGTTTGGCCATTCAGACTCTCGCCGGAGGCATTTGAAGCCGCACACCGCATGTTCGAGCGTCTTCCGAGTGGGTCACATCGCACTAACACACGAGCAAGCGAGTAATGAAATGAAGTGCCTCCAAATGCCAAGTGAGGAAACAAACTTACAAAAGCAGTCAACGGTCGTCAGTAAAGCAGTTCTTCGATATATTAACCGCCGTCAATATTCGCTGCTGCCGCAGCCATGCATCGGACATCATAAGCCGAGACAAATCAACCGCGTAGACGGGCAAAAAAGGTAGATTCATTGCCGATGCGTAATGAACCCAAAAATAACAAGCACGTATTACCCTGACTCATTCCCAGTGCATTTCTGTCAGATTATCTGAGCAGACGGAAGCACTGCCATACGCCCTGTAAAACCCATTAAAATGGAGAATTTCTTCGAGGTTAACAGTTCTATTATAAAACATGGCAAAACACTCTGCCCAGCAATGCATTTGAAAACACTGTTTTTGTACCTGTATACACACACACCCAAGCATCCAACGACCCTGAATAATTTACGTGTGGCGAGCTAACGACGGAACAAAAAAGATGGGATTGGATTTCTGAATTTTAATGAACTCCAGGCCATGTCCAGAGTATGCTTTTTTGTGCGCTCCGGGCACCAGCCACAATAGCTGACCTCCTGTCACTGCTTGGCCACTTAAGTCCCCGGTGTTCAACCGAGAGAGATTGAGCTTTTATAAAAGACACTGGCCCACTAAATGATTGAATTGAAATATGTTCAGGCTGGTTGAGCCTCATTTAAATATGACATTGTTGGCATTTCACAAAAAGATACGAGTCAATAAGGGCTCAGTACTTGACGAAAGCAATTGGACGCATACTCTTTGGTTTTTTCGGTAAAGTCACGTAGGTAAAATAAATAAATAAAATCACGA